TTCATTGTTGTTTTCATTGTAGTATCTGCTGTTGTTACTTTCGGCTCAGGAGTAATCGAGATTTTCACTGCTTGTGGTTTTATTTTCGGTAATTCTGTAGTGCTTTCTTCTGTTCTCAGCACTATATTATCTGCAACATTCTTTTCAAACAGCTTAATCGCTTCTGTAGAAGTTTTAACTAAATTCGTTTCAGCGACGGTGCTGAATTTTTCAATTGACTCTGTCGTTACAGGTATATCTGTTATAAGCAACTCCCCACTACCAGAAAAATCATCGAAATCTTCATCCATTCGGTCAATATTAGTTGTATCCTCTTTCGAATGGAAAAAGGTTGTGGCTTCTGTTGCATCCATTGTATCAGTATTTGTTGTCCCTAAATTATTCTTATTATCATCTTCGTCGGAACCAAGCAATAAATCAACCCATGATAAACCCGGATATTTTGTAGTAGTTTTCAACTGTGGCATAGCGGCATCTAAATTGTTAACAACACCGTTTAAATCATCAGTAGGCCCTAAAAGTAAGTCTAAAAAGCTTACTTCTGTTGTAGAACTAAAACTTGTTGACGAGGGTGTGCTTGTTTCTATTTTTGGTGACGACATCGCAGTTTGTATGCCCAATAGATCAATATTGTCAGTTAGCATTTGATTATTATTTCCATCAATGAATTCCAAACCTTCTCTTATTGTGTCAAAAATACTTCTCTCACTTGTAGTGCTTACGATAGGTACATTATTTTCGTTTATTTCTGGTGGTTGTCTGTCATGTGGATACTGCACTGCGATTTCTGTGGAATTCGATTCGATGCCTTCATCTTTACCAAATAAAAGAGAAAGAAAATTGAATTGCCGAGAGTTTTGTGCACGTCTATAGTCTCTTTGACTACCACAGTCGTAACTGGAGGGACAACATTGCCCTTTCGGTACAACTGGTATGCAATTTTTTAGTGCCGGTGAGCATTTCTTTGGGGCGCAACGTCTATTGCCACGTATGCAGAAACAAATATCACATGGCTTGTCGGGATCGGATTTCATTTTCTGTCCTTCTGCATAAAATTGCTTGTTTACAGTACAACCACGATTTCTTTGGAGTCGTTGTGACATTCGTAGGAAATGTTTGTTCGATGTTTTGCGATAATTTACTTCTTGTGAGGATTTTCCAAATGTCTTTGTGCTACAATCGTAACGTACGGGACAACAAGTTGAATCAACAAATATAGGCTTACAACCTTCGACAGGTAGCATGCATTTGGGTTTGACGCACTTTTCAGTGCCACCTATGAAAAAGGAAAAATATATCTCGATGAAAATTTTTTTTGAATTTTTTGCTTACTTTTAATTAAATTTTAGTGGACTGAAAACATTTTTTAATTAATTTTAATTCAAATGTATATGCCAATTAATAAAAAACCAATTATCGAGTACAAATATTGTAAATATTATTACACTTTCATTCCACTATTTCAACTTAAGTTGATAGTTAATTTAATTTATTTTATAAATATTTTACTGGTGAGTAGCATAAAAATAATATGTATATATGAATTACTTTTAACTAGCTAAGAAGTAATGTATGATCTCGACTTATCAAACGAAAATTTTAACCATCCAAACACTACCATTCCTCTAACTTACCGATGCAATAGCAGTAGGTACACAAATTAGACGACGACATCGCAGATCCAGACTTATAGACGGTGCCATTTTTTACACAAACTGAAAAATATGTTTTAAAAAAGTATTATTATTTTTTTTTTTGTACAGATTTTTATTTGAATCAGATACTACCACACATCAAAAACTATTCAAAAACGATCAGAGAAGAATCAGTAAAAGGGATGCATTACTATATGGAAGGCAAAGGTTCAGGACTAAGTTGAAAATATTTGCAAAAATGAAGATCCATACAATTTTAGATTACAGAATAGCTTAGGGGAAGTTTAAATCTACATGACTTTAAGAGTAACCACCAGAAATGAGTTAGCAGTAAGAATAAAAAAAGGTTTTAAAAAAATACATATTTATTAAATAAATAACTTGTATTATCGTAACAAAAATAATTGGAATTATTTAAAAAAATATATATTTAAAAAAAATAAAATTAAATATCATGGTTTTAAAGTTCTATATTAAGGTCCTATCGTAATTTATATATGTCTAATATTAGTAAAGAAGTGAACTCTGCTATCTGAAAATTCTATAAGTTAGAAAACAGGGAGTAATATAAATTTTAGAGGCAACATCTGGTAAGCTCGAGCCGTTGGATTATGCGTACAGCTGAGAAAAGAACGAGCAGGAAAGGTCATGATAGAGCTTCCTAAGCACACGTTAGTGTGTTCAACTTCAACAATGTTGTGAACAAAAGGAGCTTGAATGTTTTGTTTTCACGAACTAAACGTAGATCAGATAACAACTGCTGCAATCACAAACAACACCCATTTTTTTATTTTCCCTCCTCTTGAATTGCTTATGTGCCACAAATTGATTTCCGAAAATAAGAGAAAAGTTTGATGAGAAAATTTGGGTTAGTCTTTTATAATACATGAGATAATACGTGATTATCTTTCTGTTTAAAAGTGTTATTAGGGGAATATAACTCATTGGAATTGTAATCATTATTATTTCTCAAATGTATATAATCTCTTAATTATAATTCTCATGCAGTTAAGGTACTTTTCCCATATAAGAAGTTACAAGCTGTGTAGCTGGTTGATAATCATGGAATGTTTTAATATTTGTGTAAGAAATTATATATAATTTTGATGTTGTTGTTATTGCTATTGCGTTTGAAAAAAAGTTTGATGTCTGATGTCTGATAAAAGCCATAATTTCTTTAAAGTTATAACTTCTTTGAATGTGTATAGTACGTAATTATAACCCAAAAGACTTGTGAATATAACTAATATGCAAATATATATTTATTATATATGGATGATTATAGCACCTGTTTATTGTCAAGTCTTAACAGTAAAGTCGAATAACAAAATATTGCTTTATAGATAAGCTATTATTTGAAGGATATTAGAAAGTGATAATAACTGAATATTCTACTCTTAACTCACCATATAAGTCCACTTCTGAGTCATCCGAACGACGTTGCAATACATTCTCGTTGACAACTCGATCTATTGACTCCCGCTCATAATGATTCAGATATGCGATTATGCGGCGTGTATTGGGTATATTGTAAAAAGCATCCAAACGTGCGCACGATAGATACGGACAACAGGTATTCTTCTTCTGTACAACAACACATCCTCTGGGTGGTGGCATTGGCATTTCGGGGCACACTTTCAAACGGCACGTCAACGTTTTTTTGTTACACTGACAGTTAAGACATTTTTCCGTGGTGGGAACAAGCGATTTATCAGCGTACCAAGTGCCGTTGTGGTGACAACCTGTGTAATAAAACAAAAATCACATAAAATCCAGATGATAAATGTTATTTTATGTAAAAAATAAAAAGTTATGAAAAACATCGAAGGTAAACACCGAGAGGCAAGCAACACTGCAATAAGATACTTGCAGTGAGTATCTTATAGTGGAGTATAGGAAAAAATTAGTATGGAGTACGGTCGCGATCAGAGATACCTGCGCTGCTAAACTTACACATAAATTTAGATGACAATAAAAGATTTAGATAATGACTTTCAAACGGTAAAAAGATTTATTTTCTTAATCGTTGTTCGTTATTGTTGTTGTTGTTGTTGTTGTCGTTGTTGCTGTTGCTGTTGCTCTTCATGTTTCACTACAATTGCAATAATTTGCTTGTAGGTTGATAGCCACGATGTGTCGTTAGTGGTCTTTATGTCGCACTTCAGTTCATGAATCATGAAGATATGCGCTCTATACGCACATCTGAATTTTTTCTTTGTACTTTTGTATTCGCCATCGTAGATACTTAGTGGTTAAACAGTTAAATGAAAAGCAATTAAATGAAGTATTTTTCGCTACTTTTGTGGCATTGTTCGTTTTTTATTAATATGCGTTTAATTTTTATGTAAATACTTCTCATGTTAAATAATGTAACATAGTTGTTCCAAAAAGTGCGCACTTGTTTACATTCCCCTGAGATCTGACTACCGTCTGCTGATCACTTTTACTTGACCATAGAATTTTTGGCATTTGGAACGTGGTGGAGCGTATGAAGACTGAAGTTAATGACTTTACGGGCAGAGAGCGTTAACCTTTTCAACAATTAAAAGCCTCAGAGAATGTTTACGATTTACGTGGTGTTATGTGTTTATTGGCTGTGCCACTTAAAATGCTTTTACTTTCCAATTCAATTTGTTTTATCTAATCATCAACAAATAAAAATGCATACGTTAAATCTTATAAAATAAACACAACAACAACAACAACAACAACAACAATATCAAATATGTAATTAAAAAGTAAAATTTACTAAATTTAAATTCTTAGAAATTTACTTCAGATAATTATGCTTAATTGAAAGCTTTTGGGATTGTTCACATTTTATTTCTAATCGTAATTTCTCGCCATATCTAGCTTTCCCTTAATAGAAAATTATTTAATATATATAATTATATACACATAAATAAAAATTTTAGACAACTTTTAAATTTTATTTATAAAGAAACAATTTATTTTATGAGTAAAAATGTTCGAATCTAATATTTTTTATAGGCACCATCAACCTCCATTAAAGTAGATCTGGTGATCTTACTATACGATCTTGTCTCAAATAAAATATTAAAACTTTAATAGAATATGTCATTAGGGGTAATATTGGTAGTTACAGATGTTCCCCAACTCCTCTTAATTGAGTCCTAAGATACTTATGATGGATCTTATATGGCCATTATAATATCACATGATCCCAGTTGGACTGTTGAATCAGAACCATTCTTCGTTAAATCGTCAAATCGTAAAATGTAATACCAGTTACTAAGTGTAAACAGTGTGGCTCCGCTCAATAATAAGAACAGCATTTCTGGAATGTTCCTCTACAACGTAATCTTTGTTATTTCGTCATATAATAGTATATAATATATACTAAATATATATATTAAGTATATATATTTTTAATATAACATAATATGCGGTTTAAGTAGGTCTTTATGCAAACATATGGGTTTGTAATATATTTTACTGAATAGAGTAATAACACCAAAGCCAGATACCGATTCCGTAACATCTTAGTATATTGCCATTTATCTCAGATTGCATTTAGCTTGCATTTAACAATCTTCCGTTACCTTTGGCCATTCTATTTCTAGTTTTTTTGACCAAAACGTAGCGCTTTTGAACAAATGCAGTTAGGGCAAAAATAGAAAAAGATTCGTAAATTATGTTTCGGATTTTGAATACAAAAGAATAAACTCGTTTAATAACCGAAAAACCAGCGGCTATAAAGAGCACAAAGCCAACATATCTATTGATAATCATGGAAATAATTGGAAAGAAGCGAAATGGTAACAGAATTGTGCTGTTTAGGTGAAAGTTAGTACAGAAGAATCAATAGTGAAGCAGATCAACAGCATTTGTTAGAGGGAAAAATACCAACAAAAGTACAAATATTAACCAGAATGATCATTAAAATCAGTTCAGCACCCAAAGTTAAATTGAAATGTCCGCTGGTTTAAAGTGTACACATACAAATATTAGCAGAAGTTTTGTATACATAAAGATACAATAATGTCAGCCACAGATACAGAAACAACAGAAACAACAGCAGCAACATCAATAATCCCAAGAACAATAAGCATAGAGAAGTCATCAACGAAAGCCTTTCACAATGGAAAATATCTGAGACTAATTTTCAAAAGGGAGTTCATCGCTCACCGCTCACCGCTCACCGCTCAGCGCTCAGCGTTTGGCTTGATTGTGATAATGGCAAAGTGAATGGCTTGGTTCGGTCTGTTTTGGCGCAGTTAGAAATGACAATACCAATACCAACACCAAGATTGGATAGGGCTTAGAACAACTTAAGAATATAAACACTTAGAAGCTTTGTTAACTTTTACTTCACAAGAACACAAATAAATCCATATTGTTTATTTGCTGAATGTATTGTCGCGATTTAATGATTTTTTACAAATTGTAAAAACGATTTAGAATGATTTAGGCGTATTGAGATCACACATGAAAAATATACTCATACATTACATATTCAAGAAACTGTAATAAACGTAAATGATTTACAAATAAAGAAGATAACGTCCAACTAACGTCCAACTTAGATCTCTTGCCGCAAGAAAAGATATAGGAAAGATGACAAGATGGCAAGTAGTAAACCTTATTCGACTAAGGTATGAGTTACCAAATTTTTCTAAAACTTATATTCTATAATTATTATTAAACAAAGGATCTAATGTAATAATAATATTGTAATAAATGCCACTTATCAGACCAATCACGTCACCTCCACAAAATCATTATAATATGAGCTAAGTGAATTTAAGTGAAAAGTGAATTTTGGTGTGGGCAAGGATTTAGAGTAATTGATAGATGTACATCAGTATATGAAAGGTATAACTAGTATGTGTATATATTTTTGTCTTGATATTTTAACATGATGTGATACCTTTCAGATATAATTTTTATTCCTAGATTTTTTAAATCTGAATTCCTATGTCAGCAATGGTTAATCCACATTCGATACTTATGTCAGTTATTATAATTTTTTACTAATCGATACTGATTACCATCGTTCAATACGTAGTGCTTTTGATACTTCTGATAAATTATAATATTTTATAGTTCCGATAATGGGTCGGAACCTTTTTGTGGACTAGGACATAGTACGCTTCTTTCTCTCATAAAAATAAAGGAGAACCAGAATAAAAAGGTTTACAGCGATAAGATACCAGGGTTTATACAATTCAAATCACTTATTGGTACCTATAACAATAAGAGATACTAGGATTGTATGAACCTATCAAAAGAAAAACTTAGAATCATCACAGGAATCTTAACAGAGCAGTGTAAACTCAAATATCACCCTACGAGACTGGGTTTACTTACGCATGCAAAGTGTAGATTCTGCGAAGGAAATGAGGAATCAGCCACACATGTGCTGTTAGTATGCCCTGCGCTAATGCAGATACGGAATCGGCTCCTAGAAATGTATATTCTTACGGAAGAGGTAATAAAACTCTGTAAAGTAGATTCTATACTACTTTTTATTGACGCAACAGTGCTTACTTTAAGCCCAGAAGGGGGCACAATAGACCCGACGGTCGCAGTGCCACAACCCCTAACAATAACAATAATGATAATGGTTAAATAGTCGTATCAATTAATTGTTAAAACTACTTTCAATTGTAAATTAAACAAAATAAATATTCTATGTACTTTATACGAACCGTTCAGATACTACTAAATTTTTTACCCTAATAATATTGTCGGTAATTAAATATCAAAGTTATCGAAAACCTTTCATGTTTGTAAAAGGAAAATATTTGCGCTCAATTCATTTACTTTCAGTATAGAGAACTATATCTTGCGAACGAATCAATAGATAATTTAATGAAAAAAGTATTCTAGAATATTAAAATTTACTAAATCTAGGAAATTGGAAGCGTGTCAAAAATTATGACCAATTGATAGGGTTTGGGATGATAGGAATTCGATACACCCACAATGCAAAACCATTCCTGAAAGTACTGATAGTCAGAGTAAAAGTAAAATTCCTGACAAGCAATAAGACGATCTCAAGCAATGAGACTTCCTTGTGATACCACTTGGAATATATTTTATAAGGTTTTGCATTTTAAGTCAAACCGATTTATTATTTCATGGAAAAACTATGTTCATTGATGAAACCTCTTTCTAAGTAAATGGTTTTATAAATGCGCGAAGTTGTGGCATTTGGAGTGTGCAAACCCATATGTTCTTCTTGAAACACCTTTACATCTATAATGTGACAGTTTCTTTTTGTAAATGAAGACATGGTTACTTCTTTTTTGTGACATTAGTTTGATGACTTTGGCTTGGACAATATAAGTTATGGTTTTAACAAGGTGGATCAGCATGTTTCAGATGTGGTGCCACAATCAATTTACTAAGAGAGAAATTCAAAATAGGTATATAGCGTTTTTTGATCATTCTATAATATATTTCACTTCAATGGTGTCTTTTCCATTATCATTTAAACCACATCTCTTGGCTCTCAATTCAGTCGAAGTGAAAGAATCTACTGACCAAGTTAGTTGCTGTTAATCGCCCTTTGTTGCTGTTCTTCGCAAGTTTAGACATTCTAGACATTAACCATTTTTTTTTTAATGCTTTAAAAAAAATTTTTTTTTTCTAATATTCTTTTATATATAATTTTTGTAGATTATTTGTCTGAATTCATTAAAAATGGTTCAAGTGTGCGATTTGTAATTCTGTTGTCACTTTGTTGTTGTATCTTATGTTGTGCCAAATTCTTTTATTGTGCGATTGTGGGAATTCAATCTGCAATGCACATAAAAGATAGAAAAAAAATTTATGTGAAAAAATTAATAGAAAGAAAAAAATCTTATAAACTGTAACAATGGGAGCAGCAGAGAAACAGATATCTTGAAAATCTTCGCGACTGCAGTCACCGCCATCATCGCCGTCAACGCCGTCATCGCAGTCATCGCAATCATCGCAATCATCGTAGCCATCGTAGCCATCGTAGTTGTCGTAGTCATCACATAAAGAAGCTCAAATCTAGGACAGAAATTAATTCAGGTAATTATGGTTGAAAGATTATGTTAACTGTCGGGTTAGCATTTCACTGACTTTTGTGCTGTTGAATTACAGATAAACTGTATTATAAAAAATACACCGTGATAAAGGAGTACTCGCTATAATAATAATAATATGGAATTAAAGTAAAGACGAAGTTAGTGCAATAATTGCAATGAAGGACTAAGCGATACCAATCGTTCCGTTGGCCAGAGAAAGTCTTTGGGCAGCTATTGTTGCTGGCTCTACTAATTATTTTTTATTTTTGTTTAATTTTTTGTTTATTGTTCTGTTTGCAACTCAAATGATATCATTACTGCCATTTACTTTTACTTAATTACCACGAGAAATCTTGGAACCATTATTTTATCATTTGACTTAGAATAAGCAATATAAGTAATTGTTAATTCATGAGTTCGGCGCATGTTAGGATCGAAAATAATGAAAAGGCAGAGATATTGGCTATCACAACTTGTGGTCCAGAATGCTTCTGTGAACTGGGAAAGAGAAGCAATCTCCTAATTATTAGAAAAGAAAAACAAAGAAAATCTTGCTACCAAAACCAAACAGGTATACTAAATAATAAATGACTAAGTGACCCTTAGTCGGTATAAGGAAGGTTTTAACTTAACGAAAAATAATTTTAAAATTACATAAAGAAATTGTGAATTGAAACACTTGCTAAAAAAACTGAGAATCGACTCCAGAAGAGAAATAGAGAGAGAGAGAGAGGGAGATTGAAGAGATAGTATGAGGCGAGTCGCTTAAAGTCTTAAGTAGATCTTAAGGCTGCGATGCAATATCACCTTTTTATAATAATAGAGTCTGTTCATAACAATAATACAAAATCATCTAAAAATCTAATAATGGTTTTCAAATTTTACTATAAACCAATACAAAAATCACACACTTTTGGCAGCCGAATCATTTTTTAAACCAATTTAAAACCAAATCCATTCGATTTGCTAATATTTTTTTGCGGCAAAGTAGTATATGTAATTTTTATAGTGATTGTATATAGGTGCACCCTATGTTATTGTTCAATACCTTTGCGGGATAGGGGCTACAATATTTTCGCGGTAAGGCATGCCTGTTGTAAGAGGCAAGTAAAATCCAGCCAGGCGTCGGAGGGCGTGGCTTAAAAGGTCACAAAAACCCTGAGAAGCTTCTGAGTTGTGCCTACTATAAGCCGGCTCTAAGTATACGACCACCATCCCGGGATGGCAACGAGGGACATCTACGAGAGACATCTATGAGAGAGTGGTTAAACAGCTGTGCACTATCGAGGGATACAGGCGTGTGCACTATCTTAAGAGAAGGTAGTTGCGCTAGCGATGGTACATACAACTTCAAAATTATATATCACCATAAAATATATCACCATATAGATTAGGGGAAAAGATCGCTCAAGGAAATATGTACTCAAAACTGTTGACAAATTCCGGTATCTATTAAATCGGAATTGTGCCAAAATGTATTGATTCATTAATTTGATTTATTTGTTGTTTATCTGACACTGACACTTAAAGCTTTAACAGTCCATCTTGTATATTTTATAAGCACAATTGAGCTGTAATCGTAAGCAGAGAAGAGAAGAACTTCATTAAGAGCTCAAAATAGCTTCGTTAATTAATCAGTCAATTTGATGTGCTTGGCACAGTTGACGGCTACTACACATTATTCAGCCGCAAAGGTGGCTGAATAATAATGGCTCAGATAGCGCACCTCAAATCCAACAAATGAAGTCAAATTATTGGATATGTGATGGGGAGCAGTCCACATGCCAGTCCCGCTCGCAGACCACAGACTACGCACAGTAAATTTGACAGAAATTTGACATACAGAATTTAAAATTAGGCGTCTGCTTTGTTATGCTTTGCTAGGCTTTGAGAGAATGAGAAAATGAATAAATTAATGAGATATATTGAACGAATGAAGCATTGAATGACTGGTTGATTAAATGGCAGTTTGTGTAACTGTGAGCTTACCTGTTGATTGTGTGACGAAGGCGTCCAATTGTGCTGGCACAACGCCCAACAGTAGTGCGAGTGCCAAAATGCTGGTGAACCGCCAAAACATGCTGCGGGCGTTCGAATGTGTAAACAAAAAATTCAGCTTTCAGCTTTCAGCTTTCAACTTTTATCTTTTTTGGGAATATTACTTCTATTTTGTATAGAAGTTTGTGTAGACGTTTTTTTCCGAATCGTTTAATTTAACACAATAGCGTAAAATATGTGAATTTGTGGATTTGTGAGTTTTGTGAAATTGTGTCACTTGGCGAAAGAATTTTTTAGTTACGCATGCGCCGCAGTATATACCTGGCCTGGCCTGGCTAATACTGACTTTGGCTCAGTTATGAAAGTAACTTTCCCAATTGCCGAGAATGTTCCAATTTGTATTGGATTCGTTCTTATTGCGATATTCTAGCTTTACGATTTCTTCTCACAGCCGTTTCTTCGAGCATTTAATTTAAATTCATTCGATTAAATGCCGCCTGAGTTTTCCTTTGAAAAACAAGCATTGTTTCCGCAATTAACTGAAAATAAACAAACAGAATCGTCAGTCAGTCCAATCTTAATAGAAGACAAAAAATGGGAATAAACTGAACAAAATGATTATAACTTTTCTTGGTATTATAGTCATACCGCGCAGAAAGAAAGAAAATACATATTTACAATTCACATCAGAAGAGGAGAGAAAATTGTTCTTTTATTGCGGCGATTAGGAATTTGTCTCATAAACGTTGAAATTATAAGAAAAATAATATTAAAATAACAATGATGCCGCTTAATGAAAATGATTATAGTGATTATATCAAATGTTAATGATTCAAAGCATCCGTTACGTTGTTGCTAGTAGCCAGGAGGCAGTATCACACATCGGGCCAACAACACTGGCCACAGCCGCTGCCAACGTTATTGGCAACAGAAAGCAATGTGCGGTCCGAAGCGGTTAATAACATTAGCCATACGAAATGAAGAAAAAATGATCTACGCTAAACATGAATACATAAATACAAACGGACAGTACATAAATATTCGCAGCTGCGGATACTCGCCCGTCCATTGCATGCACTGAGATTAAATGCTTTTTTATTTTCCTCACCATTTTACCATATTAAACGCGACTAATTGCAGTTGAGTGAGGAAGTGGCGGTGGCTCTCGAAAGCAAATTAAGTGAATAGCGCCACTTTAATGAGGCGAGCGCACGGAGAAGAGCAGAGCCGTTTAACTGTGGGAACAGTAGCGAAACAATTGGACTTTGTAGGAGTCTGTGTTAGATCAGCTCACACGTAACAAGAAATTGTGGAACTATGATTGCATTTATTTATAGATGCACAGTTATAATGACTTTATAGTGGCTGTAGTTTACAGCTGATACATCATTCAGTTATTGCAAAGACTCTTTCTTGAACATCTTCTTTTACAAGCCAAATAAATCTGTTTATATACTGAACATAATTAAGGGTCTTCATAATTTGGAGTGAAGACCAAATATGCATGTACGAAGTATCTTTAGAACGTTCTTTTGGGTTGTTGATATCAATAGTACAGATTATGTATGGAATAGTTTATGTATGGATCCACCCATTTTACACTATTTCTGAAAATTTCAGTAATCTTTCTGTAGATGTGAAGCAAAATATAGTCGGTACATCGGTCCTGCGATAAAGGCTTGTTGGCATAAATGTTGAACTTCAAAAGATACCAAAAAAAAAATTAAAATTGAAAAGTTCAACAGTGTTTAAAGACATCATCTATGTCACCAAACATAGTCACCATAACAGAAAATGACTCGACCTGGAATCACGACGACATGTGCCATTAATCTCTTGAAACCATATGTTGTTCACATCTATATCTTCGAATTAAGGTGAAGCAAATTAGTTTAACATGTCAGGATAGCAAGCTACATTAATTGTTATCATCAAACCAAACTTATCTTAGAAGAAAATTGGTTTAATAATGTCTTCATGGTAAAAAAAAACTTCTTTTAATTTAAAAGAATTATTTTTGGAATCAGATGACTTCATAGTAACAATAGAGCCTAGAAACAATAAATGTATTCTTTCCATACTTTAATAAATATAAATCCTGATAAGCCTAAAAGTTGCATTTAATGCGTCCAGTAATGTTAAGGACTTTATTGATCCTGATAATTCTAAACTGATGATTTTTTGTAAAAAAAATTTCAAAAATCAAAATATCGGTTTTGTTCAATAAGAAAATTATATAGACGTTTGCAATAGTGAAGTTGTGAATAGAGGATAGTGAATAGTTGCAAAGTAAAAGTTATATTAACATTTTATATGTATGATATATCCAATATTACCGAGATTAATTTTTGTTCTTTTCTTAATATTATTTTACTTAATAATATAGATATATCCTGATAATTTCACTTGCAGGAGTATAGAATCATTTGCAGTTAATTGTTATTGCTCATTAAAAGATCTTAACACAAATTATTGGGACTTCATGGTGCAATTAATCTTTTGAACTGTCAGGAATTGATTCCCGCTGGCGTCTACCGTAACTGCACAGTCATTGATTGCACTATTATGAAAATGAGCATTTACAGTGCCTGCCCGGGCAGTAATAGTGATGCTCCGTCACGATTCAGTGTATGAACAGCGAATTTTACTGTTGTTGACAAATGTCGTTCCGACAGCTAAAACTAATAATAATCGCAATGTAAAGGAGCACCTCTGGATGTTGCACGCGAGTGCTGAAGAAGTTAATATGCGTGAAGACGCAAGTGCTGAGGCCGTGGTTTGTGCGTATATAAACAGTTTATCTTATTTTTTACTGCAACGATTATTAATTTAATTTCATTTTCCCAACCGAGTTCGTTCTTGTAGCGGCTACCACTTCTGTTTCGCTTAAAAAGCCTATTACCCTTGATAAGGCACGCATTAACTGTGGGACATTTGCTCATAACGTGATCAGCTGCAATCTAGTTTAGCTGATGAGATGTCATATTAAAATTCCTAATTAAGCTTGACGGAGGTACCTGTCTTGACTTGAAGGTACTGCCGTTGATTGTGTTGATTCTGTAGATTCTGTTGATTCTGTTGATTCTGTTGATTCGGCTGCTCTAAAATGAGTTATTACTAAAAGCGGAAGAAATG